ACCTCTTCCCCACACTTCTTGTCACCCATCTTCCAAACCTATTCCCTCCCAGTCCCTGTCTAGGATTCTAGAGAAGCCTTCCACGCTTCAGGAGCCTGTCAAGGGAGCAAACTGGAACCCAGAAGCAAAACCCATTCCTACTTCAGTGTCTCTCCAGCGCTTGCTACTGACAAAGCTTAACCCTGCGGTACCTAACAAAGAAGACTATTCAAAGGGTCAAGATCTATCTTTGCAGAGCAGGCATCAAGAGTGAATTTGGAACTCCATTACAGGACAAGTCCTATATAGTTGCCCCAGCTTCGCTTAGAAAACCCCCTCCCTAGCCTTCACTGTGGCTATGGCACCTCCCATTCGGACCCACATGAGGTTGGAGGTGGGCAAAGAGTAGGAGTAGTTCCCCCAAATAAGAAGGAAGAGTACCCCCAAAAGAAGAGAGGAGGTCTGGGTTGACAAACAATAAATGTTCCCTCCATGGCACCCTCTGGCTGCTCAGTGCACACACACACACACACACACACACACACAGGCACACACAGAGTTTTCTCCATATCTGTAGTTTCTCTTAACATAAAGCAACTATCCCACATGCAATTGAAAATGTACTCAATCCCTACCCAGTGGGAGGGAAAAAGTCAAAGTCACCTCCAGCCCAAATTCAGGATCTTTGAGTGTAGTCAGTCTTGATCAGGTCCAGATATAGCTAAATGATGAACAATGAATTTTTCCCCAATGCACAAATATACAAGGGGGCAGGGCGGAATGGGATAACAAAAACTGATGAGAAAGGGCAAAAAGGAGTCACAATATGCCATGGTGGTGAGCATGTACCAGATCCTGTTGGACAGGGGTAACGGTGTAAGAAGACCTCTCTTCTTCAGCAGAGAACTGAGATCTTTGGTCAGCCGATCAGAGTGCCAAGATGTCCTTTGTCTGTTCTCCTCAAAGACCCTGCATTAGAGTAGTGAGAAGAAATCTCCTGGGACTGCCCTGACAACCAAATTCACCTTTCTGCACATACGGAAACTGAGATGTTGTCTTTGAGACTATACACCAGTAGATGCCATTTGCCAGGCTGAAGACTTTCTGGCAATACCTTAAAACTGACTTGGCTGCCAGTCAATGTCATTTGGGGGAAATCCATTAGCTTGTTATCAGAAATTTCATTGAGTATGGACTCTGCCCTTGCTGTTTCTCTCTTGGAAACTCGCCTGGCTACTCTGTCCACCTCCCTAGATCTTCGTTCACCATGTTTGCCACAGATGCTATCTGAGAGCAGGGGCCAGGTGGGGGAGGGGACAAGCTGGGATCATAAGGCCCGGTTACAGCATCAGACTCTATCCCCTGAGTCGTACACCGCTCGAATGCCATAACAGGAGGAACTAACTTTTCCCATTGGTAAGGGGCACAGAAGATATTTGAGAAGGGTCCTGAGGACTGAGGCCCCCGTGACACCACTGCTCTGCTGGGTCTCCACATTTCTAGTCAGCGTAGTAACTTTATGTGGGGCAGAACATTTCATTGTTTCAATTGGCAGAGTAGCGATTATGTGATCCCTGTCAGTAGAGGAAAACTAAACCACTGGCAGAAAAGACTCTTGTTATCAGTGCTGTGTAAGTATCACCCCCGCTAGTGCCTATCTCTTTCAGAAGGGCCATGGGGGAACCACAGTCCGTCTCTCACTGTACTGTGAGAGGCAAGCAGTAGCCAACCTATTAGCCTAGATTAGGTTGGCTAATCTAACAGCCTGATTTTTTTAAACCAAGTTCATAAAGCTAAAGCCTTAGTGGACATAACTCTCGGTGTTGAAGGATCAATGTTTTTTTTTTTTTTTAGTTACCAACCCGACACAGACAAATGCTTTCATAAATACGAAATTGCATGCTCAGATGTCACAGTAATGCCAATTATTAAAAGTTTCAAAATGCTCCTCTCAGTGTCCATACCTGTTTCATTCAGTACAGTTTACAGACTGGCTTCAGTCTCTATACCACATTTTAAGAAGCACTGATCTAACTGATGAAGCCCACTGTTTTCCCAGCCCAGGTCTCAATTTCTTTATTAATCAAGAGTCCTGGTTCAGAACACATACTGTATATTCTAACCTTACCTGGCACCCGAATAATGGAGCACGTTATAAGACCAGTGAAGCCTGTGGGCTTTATCTCATTGTCCTACTTCTTTCATAATGCAGTGAATTCCTTGGTCAGAGGAATGGTGTATGAGCATTCAGTAAGTCTATGGAGAATGGTGCTCGCAGCAACACCGAATCCAATTCCAGAACGAGGAACTATTGTAGTGAGACAAATTGTTGACCATCCATGACAAAAGGGAGTCCAAAGTAACTGATGTATCTTGCTGGTCCCCTGGAGGGAGAGTGCCTCATAATGACCTTAGAACTGGTCGCTGTTGCTGTAAAATTGACTTTTCAGCAGTGGCAGTGGTCACTGGAATAGAGCCTTTCCCCTGTCATTTCCTTGGTAAATCAGACCATGTCACTCTACAGCTTAAAACCCTCACTTCCCCTAGCACGTGGGAGAAAATCCAAACTCCCTTCTATAGTCTAGGAGGCACTGCAGGTTCAAGGCCTTAGTTTCTCTCCAATTTCATCTCATCGCTCTTCTGCTTGCTCCAACCACCATGCCCCTCCCAGGCTAATACTCAGTACAGCAAACTCTTAGCATATCCTGTTCCCTCTGCCTGGAACACTCTATGCGCATCCCCTCCTTCCCTTTGTAGCTCACAGCTGAAATGCTACCTCCTAAAAGTCGTTTCCCCACTACCACACAGACGGTACTTTCTAACCCAGCCTCTTGCTCATTTTCCTCATAACACCTAACACAAGCTATAATTATTTAATATTATTTGAAAAATAAGTTAGTACAGAAATTGAAACAAACTGGAAATTCTATAATTTCACAGAACTTCTAAACGCTCAGATATTTTTCTGAACACTCAAGAGCGGGAAGCAAAAGACCAAAAGGCATCCTGGGAGCCCCCATAAATAACGAAAATCCCAGATATCTGCATACTTCCATATCCCCCAAAAGTCAGTCCGCATCTTCTCTGTCAAAAGGACAGTGGCTTTATCCTTTTTCATCCACGATTCGCATCAATCAGAGGCCCGGTACCCATGAGCCCGCCTCGTGGCCTTTTATTAAATCGGAGGCACCCATTGGCCCCATCCAGGGCCGGGGGCATGCGACTGCCGCCCCCACCTCTCCCCGGGGCAGAGGCCCGCGCCGGCCTGGGAGCGGGGCTGCGGGGTCCCGGCCGTTACTGAGGTCTCGCTCCGCCGCCAGCGCCCCCCTCCCCGGCCACCCCCGAGGGCGCCCCGGGCCCCGGCCGTTCAAACTCGCGAGCGTGCGCCCCTCGGCCGGGCCGTTCCAGGGCTGCCTGGCGCAGAGCCGCGGAGCCTCCGTCCCCAGGCGCTCGGCGCCCTGCGAGCGCCCTCCGCCGCCGTCGCCCAGCCGGCTCGGCTCTCCGCCCGCGCCCCTGCCCGGCCTGCGGCCGCCGCCTCCTGCACCCGGCCGCGCGGTAACAGCCTCGGAGCCCCAGCCCGTGCAGGGGCCTGACCCACACCCCCGAGGAGTAAGGATGGTGGAGGGGCAGGCGACAGACTGACGCAGGCTCCCTGCGTGATCCACCTATCTCTATCTATCCATCATCTATCTCTCCATTTATCTACCTACCCGTCATCTAGCTAGCTATCCACCATCTATATCTACCTATCATGTATCTATCTACCTACGTACCTATCATGTCTATTCACCGTCTATATCTATCCATCATCTATATCCATCCACTCATCACCTGTCTATCCATTATCTATCTACCTATCATCTATCTACCTACCTACCATCTAGCTATCTATATCTATCATCTATCCATCTATCTCTGTCCATCTACCCATCATCTACCTACCTATCATCTAGTTATCTATCCACCACCTATATCTATCCATCATCTATCTATATCTGTCCATCTACCCATTATCTACCTACCTACCTACCTATCATCTGGCTATCTATCCACCAACTATATCTAGCCATCATCCATCTCTATCTGTCCATCTACCCATCATCTACCTACCTATCTATCATCTAGCAATCTATCCACTACCCATACCTATCCATCATCCTTCTACCTCCATCTATTCATCTACCCATCATCTATCTACCTACCTACCTGTCATCTAGCTATCTATCCACCACCCATACCTATCCATCATCCTTCTATCTCTATCTGTTCATCTACCCATCGTCTATCTACCTACCTATCATCTAGCTATCTATCCAGTACCTGTATCTATCCGTCATCTATCTATATCTGTCCATCTACCTATTATCTATCTACCTACCTACCTATCATCTATCTATTCACCATCTATCTGTATCTATCCATCTTCTGTATCTATCCATTTACCCATCTATCCATTATCTATCTACCTATCATCTATCCACCATCTATCTGTCCATCATCCATCCACTATCTGTGTAGCTATCCATCCATCATCCATCCTCCATCATCTCTCTCTCTATTTTAGGACTAGGACTAGAATTCCTGAATGAGAGCTTTAGCGCGACCAAGTAAATGAACGCGTTTATTTTAACTGAAAAGGCGAAGTAGGGCTTTTTCAGACAGAAAACGTCTAAGTTAGACTTAGAAAGTACATTTAGTTCTTCAGGACTAGCTTTGCTGATGATTTTCAGCGGTGGACCTTTTCTAGAAGTTGAAGGAGCTATGGAGAAAGTCCTAAGGTTTTGACAGAAAAAAAAATTAAAGTCCATTTATATGTGCTCCAGAAACTACTACTCATGTTGAGATATCGGCTAGAAACGTACAAGGGACACACGGGTTTTTTTGAAATCTTTTTAAGCGATTCTGCAGCCAAAAAGTCTGGCCCAAGAGTCCGCCCCGCCCCCACCCCGCCGAGCGCGCGGGCAGGACGCGCCCCACCCGGGACCGGAAGGAGGCCGGGAAAACGGGGGAAGGGGCGGGCCAAGGGAGCAGCGAGAGCCGGAAGTGGGCGGCCAGCGCGGAGCCCGGGACGGCCGGCCTGGCGGCGCTCTAGCCCCCGCGCTGTCTCTATGCCCCGCCGCGTCTCGTCTATTTATTGTCGCGGGGAAGCGGCGGCCGCCGGGGACCCGGAACAACAAAGCGCGGAGCCCGCAGCTCGAGCCGCGGGGGCTCCTAGCAACGGGCCGGGCGGGAGTTCCATGGAGACTGGGGAGCGCGCCCGCCTCATCATCATCCTCGTCCTCCAGCTTCTCCTTCGCGTCCGCCGCAACCGGCAGCAGCGCTGCCGCCGCGTCCTCTGCCGCCGCCCCCTCTTCCCACGGTAACCCCCGGGGGCCGCGGGCGGGGCGCGGGGCGGCAGGCCGGGGATGTGGGGGCGCTCGCTGGGGATAACGGCGGTGGCGGGCGCCCCCCGGCGCGGGGCCTGCGGGATGCGGGGGCAGGAGAGGGGGCGTCTGGGGACGGCGGGAGGACGCAGAGCCGCCTCTGTCCCGGGAGCCCACCCCCAGGGAGGAGGCGTGCAAGGATGCTGGGGGTCCCCGCGCCCCGGGAACTTCCCGCGGCGCCTGCTGCGGCGGGAGGGCCCCGAGTAGCGCCTCGCCCGGTCCCGGCCAGCCCGCCCGCCGGCAGCCCCGCTTCGTTTTCCTATTATTGTCATCACCCACGGTTGGGCTTGTAGGAGGAAGGATCTGGAACCGAGGAGGATGAAATGGATTGTGTGGGTCGGGCTAAGCAGGGATGCGAGGCTGGACGAGCGCTTAATCATAGCCAGCAAGAGCCCCGAAAGTGCATTTAAGGGGGAACGACGGCGTTGAGAACTCTCCTCTTCCGCCGAGACGTGCGTCCGCGGGCGCTGCCAGGGTGCTCGCTGCGCCCGGGCTCAGGCTGCAGCCAATCCACAGCTGGGAGCCCTCTGACTGCATCTGTCACCTGCAGTTCCAAAGCGACACTGGCGGCGAACCAGCGTGGGCTTATGTCTTTTGGGTTAGGGACGGTGCTTTAAAACTGGCTCAAGAAAAGGAAAGGAACCAAGCTTGGTGTGTTTTTTGTTTTTTGGTGAAGAAACAATGACAGGTTCCTTGGAGAAATTGAAAAAGAGAAATAGAAGAAGAGAAATAGAAGAAGGTTCGGCTCTCTCAGCATCATCTGCAGTCTCTTTGAAAGTTTGAGAAAATGGCAGTTCCTTCGAGAAGGGGCGTTTTTTTCCCTATCTGCTTTAAAGGATTGTTCACAGTTTGAGATGGCCAGTTAAATACTCTTCAGTTTAAGCTCTCTCTTTAAGCCTTACATCACTAACTACTTAATGGCTTTATACTGTCCAAAACCATTCTAGGTCAGTAAATGAGGTTTTCCTGTGGCATTCTGAAAAGGCCACATACAGATACCACAGTAATACCATTTTTGTGTCCAGTGGGAACAAAGCTCTCTCTATATAATTGGAGATTAAAGATGAAAATAAAACTAATAAATCACAGAAGCAATTATGTCAACCACAGCTTCTGTCTGTCCCCCTTTTTCTCTAAGCCTGGCTTGTGCTAAACAAAAAGGTGTCGTCCTTATCTCCAGCCCCCTCTTCTCATATTCTCTGCCCTCAGAATCAGTCTCAGGGACTGTCATGATCTGCTACTGTGTGCTCCTGGTTGGTTGATTGGTGCTAGAATACAGTGCTTAATTCAGACATTTTCATGGAATTGAGGTTCAGTCTCTCTTGTTAAGGGAGTTTCACGTATGTGCAAAGAGGTGGGCAGATTCCTTTAACAAAGATGGAAAATGTAAGCATTGGGATACTTAAAAGTGCAATTTAAGACTCTCGGAAGAAAAACCCAGTATTGTCCTCTTTGGGTTAATGTATCAAGGCCTGTTGCTTAATCTTTTCATATAGTTGTTCTTGTGTGAAGGATACATTGACGGCTGACCGCGCTTGAGGCTGCTGGATGTTGAGTGCCAGGGTTCTGAGACTGAGTGAATTCCCTCCATCTCAGCGCTGCCGACAGACTCACTTGGCCTTGACCTTCTTTGTTGTTGCCACTATCCCTTCTGTGTTGGAGTGGGGGTCGGGACGTAGCTTCCGCCTTTATTAACAATCCAGTTTCTGCTGTCCCTGCTCTCTGCTCCAACCCTCGCACCATTTGGTGTTGTCTTAGTTCCTCCCCTCACTTAATCAGGTCCCAGTCAAAAATGATTTTATATGCTCTGAGTGTTATTTCTGTTTCTTACGGAGTTTTCCAGTCCCTATGTCTTTGGCCTGTGTGTTCTTTGCATTAGTGCTATGTTGTCTGTTGCATTTTCCTTCTGTGTCCCTCTCCTTTATTGGAGAACTGGAGTGGTCCTCTCGGATGTTCTGTGCTCATTCTGAGTGACTGTTGGTTGTGCAGGGCAATGTGTAAGAGCCTTTCTCAAAAGACTGTGTAGCAATAAGGCATGTAAAAATATTTGGACTTTTCAGAATAAAAGGTATTTGAGGTCCAAGTGGTAATAATGTAATTGTAGACATAGTCACATTTTTAAAGATAAGAGTATTGTAGAGCCTGCTTATTGTGTTTTTAATTGAACATTAGATTTTCGTAATTCTTATTCAGAAAAACTTTTCTTAACATCAGTCGTTTCTGATCATTTTGCATCTGAATATTTGACTGAAATTACCTTTTGCCATATTTGAGGGAACAATTTAAGTGATTCCCACAAAGTTTTATGCATTTGGAAAATTGTCATATCAAAATTTTTGTGGATGTATACACATATAGAATGTGTAGAATTTGCTCGAGAGTAGAACGAATAGATATGAAATAGACAACTGAATATTTTTGGAGAATGTTATTTCTAACCATGGATGTGGCACACTGAAAATCAGCATATCTTGTATAACTTAGTTGAGTGGATGTCCGTGCTGTTTTTAGGTGAAGAAGGCCCAGAATACCTAGTGATTGATTTCCTTCTGTTGCGTCATAGACCATGTGATGAAATTATTATTGCTATGAAAAATAAAGTTTAAATTTATTTTAGAAGAATTTGTAGTAGAATGTTTCCATAATGTCTCTGAATCAAAACTTGTAGTGCTTTGAAAATTTGGCTTATTGTGGCATTTGAACTAATCGAGGTTTCCTGAAATTTACACCCATATTTGTTGCACCTTTTATATGCCTGGTGCCACGTCAAGTGTGCAAAGCTGTAGGAAAAATGTTTGTCTTTTCTGTGCACTTGTACGTGGCGGAGAAATGACATGCATTGATACCAAAACAGGACAGACACACATGTGAATCTTAAACTCTTTATTACATACTGCCTGGTGCTATAGGTGTCGTGTACGGATTTCGTCATGCCTGCTAATTAGAAGTTTCTTGAGGATGGGGACCGTGAGTCGCCATCATATTGTATGTTTGTGTTATGTGCACATGTGTGTGCATTTTGAAGATTAGCATGTTAATAGGAGGATGTATGTTTTATTTTCTTTCACTTTAGGGACTTACCTAGTGGATGAAGGGAACCTTAGGTATCTAGTCTAATGAGGAATCTAATTCTTGATGCCTAAAATGTCAACTTTTTATATTGGCTGCAAGTTATAAGCAGCACAAATTTCTCAGACATGATGAGGGCTTTTTTTAACCAATTCAAACAATAAAAGTAGTGGTTTGCCGCCTTGAGTAGGTTCAGTCTGGACTCTTGTCCCACGACTGCCACTTTAGGAAATTTCAGAAGGGCAGAGGATGTATGCATAGCTGAGGTCTTTCCAGGCCATGTAGGCTAATTCAATTTTTGTATTGTGACGCAACCAACCTTTTATTTAGAAGAGAGATGGAGTGTGTTTGTATAGATGTGAAAAAGCAGGATTCCAGAAGTGTGTTATTAGTGGAAAGGAATCAGGTCTTATCAGAAACTGTACTCATCTGGTCTTATCTTGTGACTAAAGGGTGATAAAATTCAGAGTTTGGTTTAAATGGCTGGTTTTGTGCTGGGAAGCATGCTGCTGGGGATCCCATTAAATGTTTAAAACACACTAAGGTGAATTCTGGGACAGTGCAAACCTGCCTTCCTGTGGGAGTCCATAATGAAACTTTAAAATTTCACCCAAAAATGCGGCATAGAAGTTTGGCTGGCGCCTCTGACCGGGCTGTGTGCATCCATCCGGAAAGAATAGTGAAAATCGGATTGTGTGTTAAGGGAGAGTTTTCTCACGACACGTGTGAGAGACTTAGTGCTTCAGTTGTGTTTCGCACCGTGGACATCTGTCTAGAGACCCTGGTCTGTGGTCTGTTTTTGTTTCTTAACTCACTAGGTGAGAACGTACATCTTAAAAGAAGTAAAAATTTGTTTTCGTTAGTCAAGTGGTTCCAAAGAATCAGGCATTAACCTTCTTCCTCCTGATAAATTGCAAGTATTTTCTTTGTGAGACAGAACGGTTTTGATCAAAATCAGCTGCACTTTCTTGGAATTGGGGTTAGTCTAGGGCTGGTGGGTGTGGACTGGCTCCAGGCTGCCTGTGTTCAGCGTGGTGCCTCTGGGGCTTATTAGCAGTATGGCCTCAAACAAGTGACTTCGTTGCCCTGAGCCTGGTATTATTATGGTACATTGGCACGTAGTGTACCATGGAGTTGCTGTGAGAATTAAGTGTAAGGCACTTAGAACAACGCTCCGTGTAGTTAAGAGCTAAAAAAGTAGTAGCTGGTGCTGGCAGCAGTGGGCCTAGGGCGTGCGTTGAAGGCCACCCTTAAACCACTTGAATACTTTGTTTCTTGTGTTTAGGGACTTCTCTTAAAGCACTGACATTCTTTCTGATCGCTGAAGATTGGACTAATCTCTTCCGTTAGGTTTTGGGAGGGGAAGCACTCTTGTCTTAATTTTGAATTGTCACACAGGCATGGTTATCACTTATGACAGATGGACTAAGTAAAAGGAGCCATCTCTGATTCTTGGAAAAGGAAGGCCAACAAAGCGTGGTCTGGCACGGTGTGGCCGCTGTTAGAAAGCTGTTTCCCTGTGGCCCTGACTGCTTGTTTAGCTGTGGGGGGCTTCTGAACAAGAAGAGTAGACTGGTTTCACTTCGCAGAATTGGTCTTTCTTTAGAAGACACTATTTTTTACTTGTATGACCTTAAAGGTGGTAAACTTGAAACTCGGTGTCATTGTTAAGCCATTTAACTTGAGTTTTCTGTGTCACTATAAATGTTCTACATAGCAGCTTTCTTGTAATTTTAGAAGTAGCTGAAACTGCTGCTCTGCTCCAGTGACTCAGGAGCTCAGGAGTGGGGACAGGAGATGGCAGAGTTCTTTGTTGATGGTGAAGCCAGCGCTGAATCCTGGGGCTTCCTCATCAGGGCAGGCGCAC